CTGCCTCAATTCTTCGTGCATAGATTCAACAAAGGTGCTGAAGCATTCCTCAGGGAGTTTGGTCCATATTGACATGATGGCATCACACAGTTGCCGCAGATTTGTCGGCTGCACATCCATGATGCGAATCTCCCGTTCCACCACATCCCAAAGATGCTCTATTGGATTGAGATCTGGTGACTTGGAGGCCATTTGAGTACAGCGAACTCATTGTCATGTTCAAGAAACCAGTCTGAGATGATTCCAGCTTTATGACATGGTGCATTATCCTGCTGAAAGTAGCCATCAGAGTGGGTACATTGTGGTCATAAAGGGATGGACATGGTCAGCAACAATACTCAGGTAGGCTGTGGCGTTGCAACGATGCTCAATTGGTACCAAGGGGGCCCAAAGAGTGCCAAGAAAATATTCCCACACCATGACACCACCACCACCAGCCTGAACCGTTGATACAAGGCAGGATGGATCCATGCTTTCATGTTGTAGACGCCAAATTCTGACCCTACCATCCGAATGTCGCAGCAGAAATCGAGACTCATCAGACCAGGCAACGTTTTTCCAATCTTCTATTGTCCAATTTCGATGAGCTTGTGCAAATTGTAGCCTCAGTTTCCTGTTCTTAGCTGAAAGGAGTGGCACCCGGTGTGGTCTTCTGCTGCTGTAGCCCATCTGCCTCAAAGTTCGACGTACTGTGCGTTCAGAGATGCTCTTCTGCCCACCTTGGTTGTAACTGGTGGTTATTTGAGTCACTGTTGCCCTTCTATCAGCTCGAACCAGTCTGGCCATTCTCCTCTGACCTCTGGCATCAACAAGGCATTTCCGCCCACAGAACTGCCGCTCACTGGATGTTTCTTCTTTTTCGGACCATTCTCTGTAAACCCTAGAGATGGTTGTGCGTGAAAATCCCAGTAGATTAGTAGTTTCTGAAATATTCAGACCAGCCCTTCTGGCACCAACAATCATGCCACGTTCAAAGTCACTCAAATCACCTTTCTTCCCCATACTGATGCTCGGTTTGAACTGCAGGAGATTGTCTTGACCATGTCTACATGCCTAAATGCACTGAGTTGCCGCCATGTGATTGGCTGCTTAGAAATTAAGTGTTAACGAGCAGTTGGACAGGTGTACCTAATAAAGTGGCCGGTGAGTGTATATGGGTCACTTTGAAATTAAAGGCAGGTGTGTTTAATTAGGGTTGGAGATGAAATGTGCAGGACAGTCGATCGGCAGGAGCAGGGTTGGGCACCCCTGACATAGACAATTCAGGTCGTAATTTATTCAAACCGCAATGCATGATGGGAGCCATTAATGAGTTGTGATTGGTGGCAACAATGATTAATTTTGTCACCACAATTGAGATACACAGGCTGATTATTGATATCTGTGTTTCTAAATAAAGATGAGAGTGATTTGATCAGAATATATATTAAAAATTTTAAGTTATAGGGTTAAATTTGTAAAGCCCTTAAGACCAGACTTCGTAGAGGTGTTGATTTAATGATCCGATGCTTTATTGTCCTGTCTTCTTATCTATCTTCCTCTATCATGGCTCCCACAAAGTGGTTTAAATATATAATTTGTATACTTTGTAATGCACAACTTTATCTCTCCCTATTTGTTCAAAGTATATATATGTACTGTTCTAAAAAAACAACAGCAAATGTAAAGTTCTTCATCATCACTTTTATTCTGTAATTATTTCTTGCTGAATATAAATAAAGAATTTAAAAAAAAAAAAAAAAAAATTTAAGTTATGAGAAAAATATAGATATCCAATACAACCACAAAACTGTTGCTAACAAATTAAAGCAAATCACCTGAATAGAATTCATTTTTCAGATCAAGCATGATTATGTCAAAACATAATCAACACTATCAGATCACAGATGTCTTATTTGACAGCTATTAAATCAATAGCAGCAGACATACAAAATTTAAAGTGAAAGTATAAGTGTCAAGAGCCCAACTAAAGCAAACACTGATCTCCATACATACAGTCGGCAACGCGTCATAGTTGGGGGGCGTGGTCGGCGTGGGGGAAAGCAGCGCGACCATCGTGTGTATTTGAATGACAAAATTGTCATATTGCGAGTCATTTATGCCTGCCGACCGGCAACGGTACATTGCAAAATTAACTGTAATAGGTTATGATTGCCCTTATTTAATTAAAAACTGGGTCAATGGCCCACCAAATGGCCGGAGGTGTCGTTTCCAGACTATTGTTATCTGGTTGAATCTCCAGGTAAGACAACACAAGCCAACACAAGCCTATTACTCAAACAACTTGCGTATAAGTTACTATAAGTCCATAAAACCATGTCACTTACCAATTGTACGTATGCTTCACTCCAAACTATTAATCCTTTTGTAAAACGGTGATCAGTAGTAGTAGCTACGAAGTTTCAGAGGGACTTTGCTGACAGTTTTCCGAATTCTCACAGACTGCAGTCTGATAACCTTCAGCTGATAACGCTAATGTGAATGAGACATGCCTTATGAAAAACAACTAAAGGAATCTTGTAGTATTTTAGGCCAAATATTATAGTAACGTTAATCCTATAGGAATACTATAGTATTTTGGGACATAGCCTAGAAGTATAGAGGTATTAAAGAACATCACAGTCGATTATACACTACTATAGAATACTAATAGCCATAGGATTACTATAGTTCTTTTTCGTAAGGGATAAACGTCAGACAAATCTGGCCCACTGCCTAATACGAGTTAAACATCTACTACTATATCACACTGGGACCTCTACTCACACAGTAATCTAATAAGATATGATTAATTTTGCCATTTTGTCCTCCTATCCGGTTCTGTATGTATGTAAGAAAGGCTGTAGAACTTCAAATTATAATTTGTTAGTTTATTGGTGGTACAGAAAACGACACAGCAACTCTGCGGCATGATTGTCCCATGTATTTCAATGAGCGCCAAGGCAATGTTTTCCCCCACGGGCTAAATTCACATCACGTGACGGGGCGTTCCCGGGGGCGTTCCCAGACCAACCGACTGTATCTATAATGGTGACTTACAATTTGTGATTTTGTCCTTCAGTGATTCTGCTTGTGATCATCAGGTGTCTTCAATAATGCTCAATCATCACTAAATTAATCACTTAATTATCTATTAATTATATGAGTGTTAATTTAACACTCATATCGTCCATTTGAAAGCAGGTGAAGATGATTTACTACTAATCAAGGAACCGGCTTTACTGATTAGATGCGCATAACAATATCGTGCGATATATCGCCCAGCCCTACTGGCCATACACTGATGAGAAAGTGCGAGTCCGGTGTGCGATACCTGGAGTTGTAACGGGATTTGGGTGACCCGTTCGTTGACCTTTGCGTTTATGAGACTTGTCTTTGTCGACCAGGTGCAATCGCTAAAGAATAATTGTGCTCCATTCCATAACAAATGCGCGAAACAAGCTCACGTTTGTTGCTTGATAGACGCTAACACACAACTACAACTTCCATATTTGTCCAGGACTACACGTAGTACGAGCGGAAACCGAGGTAATGCGGATATGACCCGAGTGACTGGCGACTCCCAGCTCACCCCTGCTCACACGCCCCATTTCCTTGGTTAAAATCTCAATTTTCTCGCGATTTAAACATTGTTTGAAACATTTGCAATATTGTAAGTTATCATCTTAACTAAATATGCAACACTGGCCTTGTGATTTTGGGATATTTTAATGCAAAAATCTTAGGTATTCCACCTTTAATACAAATCAAGATCTTACATACTGTAGACTTCAAATCATTGCTAATGGATGTTATGCACCACCTTCATCTGTCTAAATTAAAGCTCTCTAGGTTGTTTTCATTTGTGGACCCATTATGCGATACATGCAGTCAACGCCAGCATCACTAGGACATATGTTTTGGAAGTGTCCTAATATTCGTAATTATTGGATCTCAGTATTTAAATTACTGTCAAAGGTGTTGGGAAAACCACTAGACCCAGTTATGGCTGTTTTTGGTGTCAATAGTGACAGTGTGGAGCTATCTAAAAAAACAGTGTATTGTGCTTGGAGTTGTCACACTCTTGGCACGTAGATTGATTTTGCTCAACTGGAAACAAAAAAATGTGCTCTGCCCTGATTAGAGATGTTATGCACCACCTTCAACTAGAAAAGATTAGATTTTCCTTAAAAAGTAAGACTGATCATTTTTTGCAGTATGGAAACCCTTTATTCATTATTTTAATAAGACCGCAATAATTGAACCTTAACCACACTACTACTACTACTAAAAAAAAAAGATAAAGTAAAACAAGGGCAATAATTTAGCACTTATTAATCATTGTGCTCTTATGGTCTTTTTTTCTCCAATCTTATTGACTTTCCATTTAATTTTGGGCAATACTTCTTTCTGTGAATCTGTGCACTTCTGGAATGGCCGAATCTCCCGCCACACTGATGGCATTGATACGGCTTCTCTCCAGTGTGAATTCTCTCATGTGATTGAAGGGCTCCAAACTGTTTGAAACTCTTTCCACAATACGAACACTTGTAAGGTCTTTCTCCCGTGTGGATCCTTCGGTGAACTTTCAACTGAGTGGCTGTAGTAAAAGCTTTACCACAATCAGAGCACAAATAATCTTTCACACCAGTGTGTATTTTCTGATGCTCTTTAAAACGGTCCAGCCATGAAAACGTCTTTCCACAAACAGAACACAAGTAAGGCTTCTCTTTTGTGTGAACTTTCATGTGGTCCTTTAAATCTGATTCTTGAAAAAACTTCTTATCGCACTGATCACAATCAAATGGTTTTTCTCCAGAGTGAATGAACTTGTGAACTCTGAGACTATTTGACCATTTGAAACACTTTCCACACTGATCACATGTAAATGGCTTCTCTTCAGTGTGATTTCGCATGTGAGAATTAAGATTGCTTTTACTTAATAAAATCTTTCCACACTGAGGGCACGTGAACGGCTCCTGACCAGTGTGACGTCTTGTGTGCAACCTAAAGCCTTTTTTACATTTAAAACTTTTTCCACATTGAAGGCATGTGAAAGGTTTCTCTCCAGTGTGAATTCTTATGTGATCCTTGAGGCTTTGTTTACGTGTGACACTCTTTCCACATTGAGGGCAGGTAAAAGACTTTTTGGCTTCTGTTCTTTGTTCTTTTACAGCATCTTGAGCTTCCTGATTCTGATGTGTCTTCTCCGTTTCCTGTAATTCTTCAATTTTCTTGTGTACTTTCAAGTCTAAAAAGAAAATATAAAACTGTCATGGATTTTTTTTAGATGTAGTTTTCAAACGTCACTTTTATCTGTAACTGTTATTTTTTAGCTTATTGTTTTATTTTGTTGCTTCTATAAATGTGTAAAGGCCTATGATTCTAGTAAAAAAAAAAAGTCATTGATAAAGAATCAAGAACGGACACCAACCACTTTGTTCCTCAGTATCTTCATCTTTTAATCTGCATGCTTCATTCTCCTCTTCAATAAACTCCATCTTTACAATGTCACAGCTCATTGTGGTATGGAGAACCAGATCTGGAAAAAAAGTGAATAATCTATAGATTACTCCATATCATTCACAAAAATACTGTCCTGGTGATAATATTTGAGAACAACAGATGTTCTAATTTTAGATGTTGTACAATAAAAAAGTTTAAACATTAATGATATCTTCAAGACAATTGGTTCAGTTCTGATTACCCTAGTCTGTGGACAAAGTCACAAAGGGTTTGGACGGACAGCCGAGTCTACTATTTGCTGATTGTGGGGCAACGTGTGACATGTAAGAGTACATTTTTTTTTTCTAAAAATGTACATTTCTTACATAGTTTAGACTTTTACATAGAAAGACTTTTATCACCGAAACAATACGGCCAAAATGTTGTGATGTCGCAAACAGAAACCGAGACCTGCATTTGCTTGTCTGAAGCAACATGTCTGCGGTGTGGACACATTTCAGTATATCTGAACCCGCGAGGAGACAGAAGCCTTGTTTATGCAGCGTGAGTCTCCACAGACAGCGTGAGTCTCCACAGACAGCGCTCCACAGACATCCCATTAGTAATCGGTGAGAAGAAGAAAGATAAACATGTGACAATGTTTATTTTTTAGTATACCACCACCAATACAAAAATAATCATGTAAAACCCAGTAAACCCTGAGATTATTACTTGTGACATTACAAAAAAATATGTATATGGGAACATGTATGTATACAACGCTCTCTTAAATATTTTCTAATTTCACTAAACATATTTCATTAAGTTTTGTGTACATGTGTATTAAACATTTAATTTTAAAACATTTCTGCAGGCCAGTAGATTATTATTGAATGTGCAAATGAGTGGGGTCAAGTTAAACATTTTAGTTTGAATTTTATTTTAAATTGTGCATTGTTGTGATGTGCTAAATAAATATTTGCATAATTGATTTATTCTTTGAAAATTTTATATTAATTTATGCAAATGCAATGCCTGGATTTTAGTAAAGTTTGTATACAGTCATGGCTATAAATGCAATGATACACAGCAAATTCTGGTTTTTGGAATAAACTCCCTGTTAGTTAAAATCAACTCAATCTGAGTGTACATGTGAGACCATCAATTAGACTCCAGCGCAGAGTTAAAATAACTCTGCTCTTGGAGTTGAATTTTTAACACTTTTTTCAGAGTTAAAATGGAGTTAAAATACTAATCCTACAGAGAGTAAATGTAACTCTAAAATTAATTATATGAACTCATTACCAGTGTTACCAGTTTGTTTAACACTTCTTAGAGTTAACATTTATTTAACACAATAATGTTTTGTGTGGAAATTACTACACTGGACACCATACTCTTGATTTACTGCCTTTATTTGAGCAAATCCATTTGGTTCAGACTTGAGGAGGAGTATATAACCTTCAACCGCTTGCTGCAGGACAGTCGTCTGAAGATCACAAAAACAACAGCATGAGGCATAATATAATCTAGCACCATTCATTGAGAATGCAAAAATATATAAGCTGAAAATCACGCACATCGTGGGTCACCACTAATATAGCCTAACGTTACATAGCTGTTACAATTCAATTGCCTGTAATGCATTGATGCATCAATTTCACGGCAAAACACTCATTTTCAGAAACACGGTGAATGGAAAGACGGTTAGCTAATGTTAACCCGTTTACATCGACAAAAAACCCACGCAAATAGCCATTTCAAAATTTGAAACAAGTAATTTAAACATGCGTTCAACAGCAAGTTTGTCATGGTCGTTGACGTTAATTAGTAAACAAACTAGCCTGTAACGTAACAGCTATGCGATGACCAAACGTGTTTGTCAGAAAATATATTTTTTAAATAGTTTTATATAAGTTACACGTTTACCTACCTCACGACGAAGCGTAAGTCCATTATTCCTTTGTGCAGCGGCAGGGTCGTGTCGTGGCGCACTTCTCAAAAATAACTCCAGGTGTAGTGTTAAAACACGCTTCTGAACACCAATGAATGAACTCCAAAATACAACACAGCCGGGGAGTATCCACAAACCGTAGTCAGAGTTAAAAAAATAACTCCAAAAAATTAACTCTTTCACACTTTTTTGCCTAACTCATGATTTTTCAACTCCTGAAATTTGCTGTGTACTAATAATTGGCATAATTTCTTTCGGTGTTTCGGTTTTCGGCCTTGGTTTCGTCTTTTTCGGTTTCGGCCAAGAATTTTAATTTCGGTGCATCCCTAGTTTTTGCGTCTTCACAATGACTTGCTTGGTTTAATCCTCAGTTGTAAGTCACTTTGGATAAAAGCGTCTGCTAAATGACTAAATGTAAATGTAGAAGAGCAACTTTAACTGAAATAACCACTCGTGACAACCGAGGTATGCAGCAAAGCATTTGTAAAGCCACAACACGCTAGAGGTCTTCACAGTAGAGGTCTTCACTGGTCCACTTGGATCCGAAAACCCGAGGTCCGACCCGAGACCCGAGCGGGTTCGGGTCCAAAACTCTGACGAGTGTCTCGGAGACGGGTCGGGTTCGGTATTAGTGGCCTCGGGTCTCGGGTAACTTAAAATAAATATGCCTTTTCCAAATGGACCCGAGAAGACCCGAATTATTTTAAACAATGTTGGGCATTTAACAAAATTGCAGCATTTAAAACAACTCTATGACCATTCTGACTTTTTTGTTAAGTGAGAGAGCGAATCCGCGCTTTTACGTGCAATGGAATATAAGCGCACGGTAGCCTCCGCATTTATTTACTCAGTTGCTCGCTCCACAAAAACCAACCCCTCCGTTTGTAAAGAAGAACTAGTGCGCCATCATGTGGATGGATGTTTGACTACATGCAAGTATTTGAATTGTCCTTTAGCTAGGCCTGTCAATCAATTTTAAAAACACGCGACACTGTCAGACAAGCACGGAGACGATAAAACAGATATTGCGAAAAAGGTGAGGGAAAACGAATATGTAGAACAGAAACATCCAGGGTCATCCTTATCAACAATGATTTTTGATCATTGTTGATAAGGAAGGAAAAAAGACGTGCAGTTAAATGCGTTGATGCAATAACGTTACCATATTAAGATTTGATTCAGAACATCCAATTTGACTGGTTCTAATGCCCTGTTTTAATTGCATTTTATCTAAACAACTTTGCAACAACGGGATAGGCTAAATAACACAATTTTAGTAAAAGTCAATGACTGGTAGAATTTGAATGAAAATCTGTAGGCTATTTTAAAAACAGCCATCAGTAAATTTTACCCTGAGGTGGTTCTAATCATCGTGGTCCGGTAAACAACATTATGCCAAATGTTATAGAACTTAAAGGGTTACAGTGATGTGTGATTGACATTTTAGCACTCAGCGTGCACTTGCTCTTGGGATGAGACTGTGTTAACTTGTGCGTCTATGTCAAGCGTATTTTTGAGAAACGCAGGGCTGCAGGCTGTGCCCACTGTAAATGCCGTTTACGTTCGGGTCCAGTCGGGTTCTAAAGGAAATGGCATCAGGTCGGGTCTGACTTGGGTCTAATTTTATCGGGTCTGTCTCGGGTCGGGTTTTTCTTTTTTTTTAAATTATTTATGCACGTCGGGTTCGGGTAAGTAGTGATTCGGGTCACTTCGGGTCGGGTACAGTTTTTAGGACCCGAGAAGTCTATATTTTATAAATGATCAGCCGGGTCGGGTCAGAATCTATTACTTCGGGTCCCGGGTCTGTTTAACATTGTGTGTAATACCCGCGCGATCGGCGTGCAATCTCAAGCGCGCGTCATGTTTCTATGGCAACCAGAGCAGAGCTTCCGCCAAACCGCGCTTTACATTTTCTCCAATGTTTATAAAAATATAAATGAACCGTCTTGTTTAATCTTAAAGTTTTGGTGGTCAGATTCAGACTCAATGAAGAGCAGAGAGCACAGATATGATCAAGCTGAACAAGCAATCGTTATTATAGTTCAAAAGGGCAAACAGTTAAAGTTATTATGCGAGTTAACTCGAGTCAGAATCTATACATGTGCAAGGTTGCATTTGTCATCCATCACCGTGACATCAAGTGGACTTTTAAAGCTGAAATAATGAGTGGATTAAGCTTGGAATAACGAGAGAAATAACATGGTAGAACTTTCTTGTCGGTGGATTGTAATGCATCACAGTCAGTCAGGTAACGTTACAAGGAAGTGAGACGACGGCTACTAAAATTAGGTAAGACAAAAAGTTTTATTTTTCGCAACTTGTGTGAAATAATATGTGACAATCGGGTCCAGTCGGGTTTGTGTCTTCCTGCCGGGTTCGGGTCCAGTTTTCAAATAATAGACGGGTCCAGGTCGGGTAGCACATTTCGGGTCTCTTCCAGTTCGGGCATGAATTTTTGGACCCGTGAAGACCTCTACAACACGCACAACCTTGCGGATGGGCTACAACAGCAGAAGACCCCACCGGGTACCACTCATCTCCACTACAAATAGGAAAAAGAGGCGACAATTTGAAAGAGCTCACCAAAATTGGACAGTTGAAGACTGGAAAATGTTGCCTTGTCTGATGAGTCTTGATTTCCATTGTTTTCTGTTGTTTTCTCAATTTGGAATAAACAGACTGAGAACATGGATCCATCATGCCTTGTTACCACTGTGCAGGCTGATGCTGGTGGTGTAATAGTGTGGGGGATGTTTTCTTACTTTAGGCCCCTTAGTGCCAATTGGGCAAATCTCGAATCATTTCAAATTGGTTTCTTGAACATGACAATGAGTTCACTATACTAAAATGGCCCCCACAGTAGGGGTGGGCGATATGGAAAAAATATCATATCACGATTTTTTTTAAGAAAATCACGATCACGATTTTTTATCACGATTCTTTTTCAAGTTGGTTTTAATATTTTACAAGTGGCTGTTCATTACAGCCAAACTAATGTTAAAAACAAAGCCTTAGGTAACAAAATAAAAAAGAAAGGCACACATTTAGGCCAGTGGCGAAGATAAAAATCTTTGTCATTATTTTCTTTGTTATTAAAAAAATAAGACAAGATAAACATTACACAAATTTAATATTCAAA